TTATATTTTTTTTCTTTAATGCACTTCTATTTAAAAAGGATCCAAGAGGAGTAAACTAAAAAATTAATAAAAAAATGTAAATTTCATATAAAATATGTATAAAATAATAAACTATTTCTATATTAATAAAATAAATTATGTTAATTTTATTTTTATATATATTAATATGTAATATTTACTTTATAAAAAAGGAAACATATTAAAAGTGTGCCAAGTAGAGACAAAATTGCTAAAACGGATATATAAAACGAATCAAAAATTATTATATTCTGCTTCTTCTCTGTAGTTCTAAAATTAAAGACTTCAGGCTTATTCAACAACTGATGTGTATATTTTGGCATATCTGTTATTAATTTACCACTTGTTTCAACTTCTTGACCAGCAAATGTGTTTTCTAATATTGTATTGGTTTCCGTACTTCTACAATCCAACCTCAATAAGAGAGTATGTGGATCATATTTTCGATCGCATTTAAAGTAATTGCTACAATATTCTTTATAATTATTTTCTCCATTAAAATATTCGCAACATTCTCTTATTTGATTTTTATAATATTCATTTAGACGATAAATATAGTCACAATATGTTTTTCTTTCTTCATCATTAGTTTCAGTAATATAGCTAAAAATAGAACTGTAATTTTTGAAATAATCATGTAATTCTTTTCTTTTCTTAAGTTCTATAAAACTAATATTACTATCATGAATATAATTACAATGTTTATTCTTAAATTCTCTGTTAATATGAAGACTTATTTCAACAAGTTTGTAAAAAAATGGTATGTCACTAATGTTATTCCAGTTATGAACAAACTTTTTCGTTATTTCATCAAATACCCAATGAGTAAAGTAATCACAAATTTCAATAAAATTATGATTGTTATTTTTATATAATTCTCTTAAATTTCTTACAAATTTATAACAAAAATCACTAACTCCAGGATAATCCATTTCAAATTCAAAAATATCTATACATTCATTGTAACACATTTCAATATTTTTAGAATTATTCAATTTTTTATATTCTACTTCTGAAGGTAATTCTTTTAATTTAAATTTCTATAAATTAAAAAAAATACTTATATGTGCTATTGATCCATATAAAGAAATATTACAATATTGTGTTTATATTTATAATATGTCCATAAACAATAAATTGTGAAAAAACATTAACATATAATTGTAATATGTTTTTTTTTTTTTGAAGGAGATTTTACTTCATTGTGTCTTCCTGTAGAATAACTTACATCATTATTCCTTTGTACTGTCGATTCCTTCTCTTGCAATGACAGTGAGTCTTTCCATTTATCTTCATTGTTGAAAAGAAAATCAAGATTAATGCCATTACACTTCTCCTTTAAAAATGATACCTCATTTTTCATCATGTTATTAAAAGTTCTCAATTCATTCTCATAGACAGAAAATTTTGAAGACATATATTGTTCGTATTGCATGGCATAATATAAGGAGAGATGATATTTTATGTAATGACAATATTTAGTTATGCTTAATTTATCTACTTCCTGCATTCTACTTTTTATGTGACTATAATATTCTGAAAAGTCATATAATTTTTTTTTTTTTTTAAAAGTTTTTTCATTAACATTCAAATTCTTATGCCAACATATATCATTAGAAGTAGTTTTTTCATAATTAATCAAATTCCATGACTTGTATAACAAATTGATAATTTCAGTGCGATAATAAATATCACTTATTCTATCATGTAACCAGTAGTTCAAATATTCACAGCATTTCTCCTTACTTACATGTTTCTTAAAAGAATTTAATATATTACTCCAATTATCTAATATTGATTTAAGCTTATTACAATTTTTGTAAATATGTTCTTTAACAGGAGAACGCTCTTTTAATAAAATCCCACAAACACGAAAATTGTCATAATAATCATATTCAGTGTCTAGCATTTTATAAAAATTGTATAAATGTATATTATTCAAACTATTGTCCTAGAAAATAATTAAAAAAAGACATATAACATTATAATATATTTTTTTATATGCTATTTTGCTTTAATGAAAGCAAAAAAGTAAACTGTTCAAAAAACCCTTATTAAATAATAATCTTTAAAAAAGGGTATTTTTACCATATCAAACAGTTTTTCAAGAGAAGGATCAGTCGTAATTAATTTTCCCTTAGTATTGAGAGTTTTTTCACGTAGATAATCATGCTTGCATCTTCCACTAAATGGTAGCAAATAACGTACATTAATAAATTTTTTAAGATATTCATTGAATTCCTCACAATATAATGACTTTTTTCTTGCAGCTGAACATTCTATAACTTTATTGTTATACAGATTAATAGCTCTCCTTATGTAATTGCAATGTAAACTGTTGAATATCTTATAATTTATAATGCTAAAATCTTTATATTTGTCATAAAATATAAGATAATCGTATAAATGTTTCATATCCTTTATGTCTTTTAAATTTATATTGTAAAACGAGCATGGGAAATTATTAGGATCATCCAAGAAAATATTTTTTTGCGCATTCCAGTGACTGACAATAGTTGTAATATCTTTTTCTCTAAATTTATTTTTTAATACTTGATCATAAAACCAGTACATAAAATATATACATCTTTTCTTGTTTTCAGTTTTACTATGATTAATAATAAAATATTTACTATCTTCATTTAATAAATTTTTTAAATTCCAAAATATTTTATTATAAAACTTCTTAACTAATGGGTCTGTATTCTCAAATGTAAAGCCTATTGAGCAATAAGTGTCATCAGAATCAGGAGAACACTCACGGTTAAATTTAGTATAAAATTCATGCAATTCAGTTTTATGTAAGTCATCATTCTACGAAATTAAATTAAAAAAATGTAATAAAAAATAATTTTAACTGCATAAAACATATTTTATAATGCGTGGAAAGAAATTTTATACATATAAATAAAACATTGCAAATATCCCCTATAAAAAAAATAAGAACATACCCCCTGAATCAATTTTATATAATCTACTATATATAAGGCCATATTAACTAAATGATGTACATGAATATTAAGTTGTCTAAATTTTGTGTGTAGAAGATATAATAAAAGTTATTTCTAGTATATAAGAGACTCCCAAATTTAATTAAAATTGTATATTGAAATGTATATTTTATACATACTACACTAATATAATGATATATTATAATAATATTAAATAATTATATTATAACTTAAAAAATATAATTACAAAAAAGGTATTATGCTACTACATATTTAAGATAAATTTAACATAGTGTAAAGAAAATGATACAACCTTTATATATAGTATGTGTGCAGAATTAAGCTACAAGATGAAAAAGAATTAACATATTTTGAAGATGTACTAAATGAAATATATATAGAATGCATATTTGCATTAATATTTTGTCTTCATACATAATTATTTTACAAAAATAATAAATTTTTCTTTTCATGCATAATTTTCTTCATATATGCTCTAAATTTCACGGATTATGTTGCTCAATCACACCATTAGAAACATATATTATTTTTATATTTTTTAACAAAATCGTTATCGGGAAACAAAATTTAATAGTTTTGTATTTTTCAATTAACTATTAATATATATTTTACAATTATATATGAAATTATATACAAAGAACATATCTATATATAATGTAAAATAATAATATTTGCATATAAAATACAATGCTATTTAATTCCACATACATTTTTATTTTTTTATAATGTACATATTTATGACTTTCATGCACAAAAATACTAAGAAATAGACGTATTACAATATAGAACTATTATAATGTATATCTTCATTGTTATTTGATCCATTTTTTATTTTGTATAAATTCATAGCTTATATGAATTAAAAAAAACGTAGCAAATGTATGGCATAGCTTTAATAATATTAAAACATAATAGTTTATTATTAGTAAAAGGATTTATATATTATTATATTATTTAATGTTATGTGATATTTTACTTAATAAAAATTAATCCATTTTGAAGCTATTAAGAATTAATTTAGCCATTATCAATGTCGCTGTGTTAAAAGATTTAAAATCATAATTACAAAAAATAATTAAATAAAAAAAAAAAAAACTGAAATAAAAACATAATCCGAATTAATAAATATAAATTTGTCAATAATGTGAATTATAGAAAGTTATAAAAAAGAAATTTCAGGTAAACATCATATATTTTAATATTCGTTAATATTTTCCTGATTATGATTAACACATTTTTAACAAAGCATGTTTTGTGTAACAAAGGAAGCCGAATTTAATTTTCATAATGTTCATTTTTCATGAATTAATTGTCACGTATTTATCTAAGAATATTGTGGCTTAATATGTTAATTGTAAAAAATTATTTCGAATAATAATGGTAAAACCTTTATTATCATATATATCCCAAAAAGTATATTAATCAGTTTAATGTTTATTAAGTGTTAATAACTTGTTCACAATGTTTTATTTCACAAAGATTGAGGATCTTATAGCTTCTTCCCATTGTGAACTGAATATATAATTAAGTTATTATACATCCTAAATGTGATATGTTTTATTATATATTTACCCGTTTTAAATGAAATAAAGTTTTCCAATAATTTATTGTTTTTAATTATTTACTTTTATTCTTTATTTTACATAACCATATTTATTGAGTATTTTTTGTTAATATTATATTACCTCCGTTTCCGTACAGTATCTATAATTTTTTAAAAGTTCCATTTCAATACTTCTTATTTTACTTTATTTTTTATTAAGTTTTTCCAAAGTTATTCATACAAGAATAAGACTATTTACATGAACAATACATGTTGTAGCACCTATGAAAATGTTCGCATTGTAAATTATATTAGAATGAATATAATTTTACTGTATTATATACTAGATGAACTCCTCTCTTCCATAGGTTTATATTTTTAATTGCATTATTATTTCCTGCAGGTGTCTACTGTTGTTCTTCATGAAAAATACATTTATTAATTTTATTTTTTTCTTTAAGTTCTTAATAGATCATGATCAAAATATAGCAAAGTATAATGTAAAAAAAACAAAAATACAAAATATATTGAACATTACCTGTTTTTTTATTACAATTACAAAAAAAATAATAATTGTTATTATAGTTATATATAATCCTAATGTGGGAATTATATATACATTATGACTAAAAAAGAAAAGGAATGATAAATGTCTTAATGTTATTATATTGACTAATAACAAAGTATATAATAAATCTCACGTTAAAATATTTTCTACACTCTCAAATGTATAAAAGATGTATATATACTCCCTACATTTCTTTTATCATTTCAGTCCATTTTTCCGATTTTAGTTAAATATATTTAGTATAGGATTCTATGTCTATAGGTCGTGCTATATTGTATAAAACATTCCCTGAAAAAAAAATAATACACAATTTAATTTTTAATATAAAATATATGGATTATACCTTTTACAATAATTCATTCATTATTTACAATAGTTAATATCAAAAAACTAAAAATATATTGGCATCAAATAATTATGTATAATTCATATAGGTTCTTAAAATTTCTAATACATTCATATTTTATTTCTATACCTTCCTCAAAATTTCACCTTTTTCTTTGAATATAAACAAAACACTTAAGGCAACCATGAAAATATTGCACTCCATACCATTCATCTAAAATATCATAGAAATAATATGAGAAATAGGAACTTTTTTTTTTATTTAGTATTAGTTGTTTTCACATATGTATAAAATTTATAAAAAACATATTCTTTAAAAAAATTATGCATTTTATTATTATGTCTATTCCACATTTCATAAAACGTCCAACAACAGAAGCATAAACAATTTTTCTAAGAAATTTTAACTTTCTCTTTATTTATATGTTTTAAATTCCTTGCAAATTAAATGCAATGATCCATGTAAAACCAATATTAGAATCAATTAGATCATTAAAATATATGTTTTAATCACTCTTATTGTTCAATATAGCATCTTCATCAAAATCTTTATATAGCATATATGATTGTAACTTTTTTAATAAACCATACTGTGAATAAAAAAAAAAAAAATTATATAAATTATCATATTATTCATTTACATATAGCATTTATTTTTTAACTGTAATTATAAAAAAATTAATATAAATTCATTTCTTAAATGAATAATAAAATTTACCTATTCTTCAATCCTACCAGAAGGCATATATATATTTTTTCATGCAGAACTATTTAAAAACATAAAGTACTTCCCACAGTGATGAATATATAATAATAAAAAATAAATTATTTATAAATATAAAAATATTATCTTTATTATTTGCAAAAATATATTGTTTTTATAAGATTTATCATGAAATGTTTTATTATTAATTATTTTTTGTTAATATAGATTATAATTTTTTTAACATTATTTTCATTGTTATAAATATGTATATTTGAATAACAAAATTTCATAGCATAATATACCATAAACATAATAATAATATAGATGAAAATATTATAATTAATAAATATAAATTGCAACATTCATACCTCAATTAAACAGAGATTAAAACATTATATATAGAAAATAGTAAAGTAAAATTTTTTTATGAGAATCTTACTTTTTATTTTTTTTCCATTATATTTCCTAGTGATTCTTTTCTCTATGCAGAGTACAAGAAAAATAATTAATAAATTTATTATATTTTATTCTTTTTAATAACGAATTATGTCTTGGTTTGTTTATTAATTAATATTAAATGGCACGCATATAAATTATTGCTATAACAATTTATTATAGCACCATAAATAAAACAAAAACTATTTTTCTTTAATTGAATTTTTCTAAAAAAATTATGTTAAAAAAAATAATATAAGAAGTAAAATTAGACTTTCAATGTTTTTTATTAGGAAAAATATAATATATTAATTTCCGCATGTCTAATCACTATGCTTAAATCATTTGTGTAACTTTCAAGGATTCTATTCTTTACTTTTTTCCATGTACACCTTGGCTATCAAATTTTATTTCTATACCTATTCTTTTTACCCTTACATAATTATTAATAAAATAAAAGTACAGACAGATAGATATGTCTATTTTATTCTTTCTATTATTTTAGTTAAATATAATTTAAGAATATGTCAGAAAAGCATAACAATAATATTTTAAATTCTATTAAAATTGTCATAATTGGGAATTTTTTAAAAAAATATAAATGTACTACAATCTAACAAGTTGATGTCAAATTAAATGATAATATTAGACTTATTCTTAGGTAATTATACCTATTATTAAATTATTTGTTCCCGTATATATTCCATATATTTAAGTTGCACAATAGATGCTATTATGGAAGGAATTATTAATTTACAACTACTTAATGGTATAAAATATTAATTCATTATTGTGTTAAATAAAAAAAAATAATTAAATAAACATACATATTATAACTATTCATGTATTTTTATAGTTATAAATATAGTTATGTACATGTATATAATATTATTTATGATGTATGATGATAATTTTAAAACATTATTAATGACACGAAAGTACAACAATATAAAAATAATTTTATGAGCATATTTCTCGTGTGATATTTAAGATTGGATGCATCTCAACACAATTTATAGTGAACAGTACACAAGTTTATATATTTCATAATAAGTGCAATATTAATTACGTAGTAAAATTTTGTTCCTATAATTAATATAGTAGTTGAGTACACAAATAATAATGTTCATGTAGGTTATAAGATGGACTAGTATTTCATTCATACATTCATAACAAGGAATCAATAAAGAAAACTATGAAGTTTATCTACTGTTATTTAATTTTAAATTTATTTTTCTATGAGTACAAAAAATACATATTCTTGGTGTCACGTTTATATCACTTTCGCTTGCGGAAGATGCCATTATGTCAATTTATTATATAAAATAATATATAACTACAAAATTTAGGTCATAGGGCATTACGTAATTTGTGTTATAAAAATAATAATAAAATATTTTCAATATATATATTAATAATAGTAT